GATATGCAAAGACTCCACTAGTACTGACATTAGTGGTGGAATAATAGATAACTCTCTCACTCACAACATCATATTGTAAGCTAGATTTTTTTCTTGATCGCAAAATTTGGACTTTAGGAAAAAGTTGAAATGTGAGCCTTGATCTTACATCAATACCCAGGATAAGATGAGTTATTCTGGTGTATGAGCAATTGAATCGGTACTCTTGTAGGACTATGGTCTCTTCTCTTAAAATATAGCCTGCAGACTCACTCCCAATATGCTCAGCTCTGTACTTCACTAATGATAAGTCCATGAACTTCTCTGTGCACTGCTGTGCTGAGCCTACATTAATAAATGCAAGAATAGATAATAGTCACAGTGTAACATACATTTAGATGACTGAAGTACCAATAGGAGAAGACAAAACATGTTCGTGATAGCATTCATTGTGACTAAGGAAATATTGAAAGTTCCTGCAGGCAACTATGATTTATACTGAGGTTATGGACTGTCTATCAGTGATTTTATACTGTTCTTAGAGCAGCCCGTGAGAAGCTCATGCAGCGCCAATTAACACAGATCAGCACAGATCATGGTCATAAAATATGGTAGAAAATAAATTTAAATAGATCAACCTAATATTTTTGAGCATGATTTCTATCTATAGGTATATAAAGTCAACCTGAAACAAGAAGGATATCTACTAATCCTGGCTGCATGTTTCATTATTTTAACATGCATTTTAGTTGAAACCACAAAAATGTGAGGGGCAGAGTTAGGGGGCAGAGTCTACCAAACATGGCGTTGCAGAGATCTATCAAAAATAAACACAGAATAAACGTGAGTTTAATACCTTGTTGCTACCTTGTAAATAGACTTCTTTCCTTTTGTATGGAATAGATAGTTTTAATTGGTGATAAAGATGTTGGAAAGACCTCTTTATTTGAGCTATTCCGGAAACATAGAGTTTGTGAAGTGACTGAAAGCACCGTTGGTCTCAATGTTGAGATTATAAACATGGTAACAAGACAAAGGAATGTTACAGTTGAGGTAAAAACTGAAACTAAACTACACTGACTATGGTTATACATCCAATGAATGATAGCTAAAGTGTCCTGCATGGTCCACACATACATTTTATACAGTGACTGACTGTTATAGACCTCTTCAGGTGAGATTGACGGTGGCCTATGAATATCATTACTGTTTATTACGGTATCCACCTACGGTGATAATTGGCCGCCATTTTGGACGGCAAGATTCAATGGAGGATGAATGAAGAAAAGGCAAAACTGATTCTTTTCGTTGGCATGGAGCTTTTTCGAGCTACAAAAGCTGGTTGGAGGAAAGAACGGTCACTACTAAGCATCTCCTAAAAGGGATTTGGTGCAATATGAAGCACATTCTTTAATAGAGCTTGCTTTCTGCATTAGCCCATTAATACTCCATAGAAAGTTGCCGTCCACGAAAATTATTTCAGAGTCAGCCAGGCTCAGTCACGCCCCTTGCCGTATATCATTCTTTGACGTAATTCATTCTCACCCAAAGAGGTCTATTTAGCACTATACCAAAATTATTTGGGAAACCCTGACCTGTATACATAAGATAATTACACACCCAAGAATTATTATGCTGATACAGTAGTACTGCCCAACAGACATTGCACGTATATACACGATACACGAGTATTTAGACGAAAAACAGGTCTTCTAGTACATACAAGTATATACAAGAACCAAAAATGAGTAGACGGAGTCTGAGGAGACGATTTTCATGTATTTATATTAACTATTAATAATTAAAGGGTGTGTCCACGTAGCAGTCAAAATGGCAGTTAGTTTGCTTAACGATGGATCTTTGATGGTCTTTTTAGTCCTTCTAGGAATAGCAGATGATGAAAACAGCAATAGAAAAGGTAGTAAAGATATTATCCTTTCAAATATTCAACATTTAAGTACAGGATACATGAAAAGTAAATGAAAAATCACCAAAATATAGACGAATTTGGGAAGCAAGAAGTAAATGTACATACACGAAAGTTTGCCATTGAATACAAGTACATACACGACCTGCTTTTTCAAAATACAAGTAAATACAAGTACACGAAAATTCCAGTAGACGTGCAACCTCTGCTGCCCAAAGTTAATGAATCAGGTCTGATTACTGAAGTGATACAGTCCTGATAGCCTATCAGGACTGTATTACTTAAGGTTACGGGATACAGTTTATGAATAATTAATTAGCTGTAGTCAATTGTTTTTTCATTTGTTATCTTTTAAAAAATGACACTTCTTTCATTACTACTATCATTTTAATGATTTATTTCTTATATAAGGTAATCTGTTCATCTTATACAGAATGACTGTACTTGATATAGGCTGGGTTAATTATAAACACTTATAAATCAAAAATCTCCAGTCCTGAACACAAAAGTCTCT